GACGATATTTCCTTACCAGAAACTTTATATAACTATCAAATTTATGTAAATTGTAAGTGATTTTAAGTAAATATTAGGCTCACACTAACAATCAATAAGATAATTACCGCAAACTTATTAATTTCAGCATAATGATAGTTCGGGAAACAAGATAACTAAGTTGTACAAAGGTTGTAAGCAACTACTCAAATGAATAGTGAAATGGTTAGTGGCGGTGGCGGCGGAAAGATGGATTTGAGAAATTCCAGTTATCCAATCTACTCCACAAAATAGGCCAACATTGTTACTTTAACCATGTAGCTTTTATGCAGTTTTAAATACTTATAGAATAAGGATTTTTACGTAGGCATACTTCTAAAGCCTAACAACTACTATTAAAAATACACTAATCAACAAAGGTAGACTCACATTCCATTCTAAAATCTGAAGTTTTTTACCTACATGTCTAGTTCATGTTGGTGACACTTGAGCGCTAGTGAGTGACACTTTGTTAAATATTATCAGAAAGTACTACAATATTATTTAATACGAGGTGAAACCCGTCGAAATCGACGGTTACTTTCAAGGCTTAAGTTAATTCATCTAACTGCGATAAATTGAGTGAAATTATACATATTTTGAGCATTTAGAATTGTTTAAATATTAATAAGTGTAAAAACAATAATGATATTAATTGCGTTAGTTACCAAATATGGTTGATCATTCAATGAATAAAATATTTCCCATACTGTACGTCATCGGAGTTGTTAGTATGCTATCTGGTATCTCTTCCTTTGGAAGAACCTTTAAATAGTATAAAAACCGTATTGGTGGATCCTTTGTAGTTAAACACTTCCGTGGTTTCATCAGTGTAATGCAGATTAATCTTTGATTTTATTTGAAAAAAAAATCTGTTTGTTGGGAAGACTCGTTCTAACTTCAAAGGGAGGTATATCCGTTACAGTGTAAGTATGATTTTTCCTTTGTCGCGTCAGTTCATAACGTACTTTTGTGCCAATGAATAACCCTCTAGCACATTTTTGAGAAATTGGTTGTAGGGTTACTGTTAAAGTTGGAATTCCTTGACATGGGGGATGTCAGTTAGTTATCTCAGCCTTATCAGTTACATAAAGTTGTCAATATAATCTCTCTACGGAATGTTAGGTGTAGTGGAATATACTTGAAGTGAAGTTGGCTTTTATTCTTAAACTGTTAGGGGCCTCCTCATTTATATGGTCGTGCAGCTTTATTGGCAACAAATAATGCGAATGACATACCTAGTAATGTGGCATTTCCAAAAAGCAAAAAAATAATGTAAATTGGCTGTTACGTAAATATTGACGTTTACATGCATTGTTAATCAACGTATCTTATAAAAGATAATGTGATCTAGTTTAAAAGGAATATGACCTTCCTGTCATGACAGTAGCTGCTTAAATAGTATTTGCTCATCGGGCAATTTTTACAGCCAAAATGTCGTGTTATTTTCAATAATAATACCAACGCAGTGGGCTACGGTCCGTAATATAGGCCACTGCAAATAATTTGTCAAGATAGGTACTATTTTAGGCAAGGTTTCTGTTTTTGGACGTTATTAGAAACGGTTAGTAAAATTCTTCTGCAGATGAATTTTCTGTTGGAGATATATAAGCCGAATTATAAATGTCACAATGCGAGTGTGAGCATTTTGTAACTCTATTATATAGATTTTTTAGGCTGCTGCTCAGTGCACTTTAGGAATATATATTTTAGAGATTAATTAAATGTTTTTTGTTGCTGAGTAGCGCTAGTAAACATACACAACCCTTTTCGTTAATCTATTAACATTCAAAGGCTCTCTAAGATGTCAAGTTCTTATTTGTATACATACCTATATTATGTTTTCACTAAGCTGAATGAATACATCGAAGTACCCTCTCTTAAAAGTCTGCAGTATATTGCAGTTTTCCAGCTTAGTGACTTTCTAAATCATGCACATATTTCAACATAAATACTGTAAAATGTTTTATCCAGTTGCTATATTTAACAAAATATGGACACGGCTCAAATGGGCACCGTGCCCTTCTGCACTTGTATTATTTTGTATTGTATTACACAATCGAAGATTTTTCCAATTATTGAAAGCATGTATGACAATAATCTCATGAACCTACGATGATCCTTCTAGAATAATATGATAAAATATAGGGAAAAGGTGTGAAAAAGCCAGATACCAACCCGTAAATAGATATAAGATAGTTCAATAAGAAACAATTGTTTAGAGTTATTGTGATAAAAGGATTTTCCACTGATTTCGTAATGGAACTTTATAATGCAACACATGACATGATATAGAAGAAAATCAATTTTAAAATCAGAAAATAACATTGAAAATACTTCTCTTGGACTATTCAGTAACTCCCAATAAATGTGTGTTATTTAAAATACAATTTTAAAATTAACAGCTGTTTTATTAAAAAGTATTATCCACATGGCCAAAATGTAAACAAATCTGTGGAGGGATCTTTAAAGGCTTCTGGGGCAGAGCCCTAAGCGAATTTACTTAGTTTTTCTTTTGATAACTCATCTACAGACCAAGACCTTTCTTTGGACACCTCTACCAAGTGTCTACGCCCAGTCGTTCTCTCAAGTTAGTGGAGACAAAGTTTCCAATTAAATATTTAGATTCCCCCATGTTAATCTTATGGGAAAAAATCCAACTTTGATGGAAGATCCTGCCCAAACTAATAAAGATATCAAAAAACCAAAAACACTTTGCAAAACTACAGATCAGGGCGATTCTTTTGACACTTTAATCATCAAAATCGGTCCAAAAATGAGGGAGGAGTTCTGTTCACAAAAATCGGCTTAGCGTATTATATAGGCCTATATAGAAGATTTTAGTAATGAACTGTGCTTTACATTTGGTTATATAACCAGGGGATGAGTGATTGTGTTACGGTATTGACTTAAATAACACGTTGATTAGTCTATGAATACATATTATTTTTAAAATTAAACTATTCTAAACTAACCTAACCAAACCAAACTTGCTGTAACATAAAATATAAGTATGATGACAGAAAAGGCATGTGTAGAAGGCAAGTCGGACTTTATGCGGATTCGTGACTGCATTAAGTCCTTTGAAGGTAGGTTAGATTAGGTAAGTTAAAGTGTAGGTTATAGTGAACCGAGCTGATAATTTATATCACACACAGGCAGTCGTTGTGCCATTAAAATAGTATGTTAAACACAACGAAATAACAATTTTTCGTTGTGTAAAACACACTATTTTAATGGCACAACAACTGCCTGTGTGTAATATAAATTATCAGCTCGGTTCACTATAACCTACACTTTACCTTCCTAATCTAACCTAACTTCAAAACACTTAATACAGTCACGAATCCGCATAAGCCCGACTTGCCTTCCACACATGCCTAAATAAAATCATTCTGAAATTAATTATTCAGTGCCGTGTTGTTTCTTAGATGTTTGTAGCATATGTACTTTAAATGACTTGATTGACTTATTTTTATTCTCTTCTCTTCAATTTCGTATTTTCATTTTCATTTCAGTTCGGTTCAGTACAGTTCTACAAACAGTTAGTCTAGTCTGTAATTCCCGGATTCCGTATTGCGGCAAGGAGTCAAGGAGTTAAGTAGCAGACTAGAATAGAAGGCAGAAGGTAGATAAAGGAAATCAAAATGTCAAATTATCTTAAGTTACCTTAGTTAATATTCGTGGCCTCGGAGACATTTTTGCACTGTTATTTCCAGGTAAAAAGTGAGTCTTCTACTTTAATCATTACTTGTAATTAACGTAATATATCAAGTATCTGGAGAGAACATTTCATAGGCTTATAAATAGGTTAGGTCAAACAAACAAAGTAGCCTAGGCCTACCGGTAAATAAAACTTAAAACAGCCGTAACTCCGTTAATATTTGAGAGCGCAGAAAAATTTTTGCACCGTTATTTTCAGCTAAAAATCTAGTTTCTAGTGATATATAATTCTATATAGGTTCCCATGGTCACGTTCGTCACAATAAATACCGATTAGTTTAGTAGTAGCCTATGATGACTACAGTTCTCGCAGCTAGTCTGGGCGCGCGGACCCTTGTGTACTAACCGTCCCCCACGCCAAAGCCATGAAGACAGCAGTGAGGCGCTGAACAACCCCAGTGTGCCGTGTGGGCCGAATGTTTTTGGAAATGTGCAATAAACACTCCCCTCTACACCCCCTGCCCTAGCGCGGCCGCGCGCCCAGACTAGCTGCGAGAACTGTACAGCTGTTTCATGCTTTTCAAAAATAGCACATCTTCAGGTCCAGAATGTCTTGCTAATCCCTCATGTAGAGTTCGTCAAAAATATAAACAAATAAATAAACGGGACACACATACGGATATGACACACACGAAAATAAATTTAATAAACTGGTCGACCAGACGCTGATTCACGAGACACGGCGCCGGTGGAAGGTAAGTCGCGACTCAAGAGGACTCGAACAAGAGTGCGATTCGTGAAGGACTGCTGAATAGGCCATTGTACGCCTTGCATGAGTTGGAAAACGAACCCCTTTTTGTAACATGACACGTCCGCCACGAAAGTATATGTAGATATTTTTAATGGTTTTTATAGTGTTTAGTATATATGTAAATAGTAGTAACATGACGCAATCTATCCGACATGTCGGTCAACGATGTAGAAGACAAGTATTCAAGTAGGCCTATTCAAGTAAGTAGCAACTTAAATGATGGCCCTTTTTTGGTCATCATTTAAGCTACTTAACTTAACTTAAGGGGTACAGTTTCTTAACTGGGCTTACGCTAATATTGATTGAAACTATCGAATTGAAAATATTGATTAATATATCTATTATAAAATTAAACTATCATAACCTAACCTAACCAACCAAACTTGCTGATGGTGAAAAAATGGCATTAAGGTTTACTAATCGAATCGATAGTTTCAATCAATATTAGCGTAGCCCAGTTAAGAAACTGCACCCTATTCAAGTAAGTAGCCCTAAGTAAAAAGCTTACCCAAAACAGGACCTCTTCCAGCCTCATCCACTCCCAACTTGCAAGGTTCATCTTGACACACTTTCGGTATTGGAGATTGTAAAACTAAATTGTCAGCATGGTTCCTTTTCATTAAAAAGTTTTTAATTTTTCCTATTTCGTCAACTTCAATTGATACCGACATTATTTCGTCGTAAAATTCTGATCCTAAAAATGTATAGAAATTAGAGGTGGCTGTGATATAATACAGTACTTAGGCCTAGGCCTATAAACAAGAAACTGTATTTAATAGCCTACCTAAAGGTGAGTGAGCGTAGCGAACAAACTTCAACCAGGACGTGATTGAGCCATGCGAACGAGATAATCTTGAAAATTAAGAAGTTAAACGGGGCAAAGCCCGCGGGTTACAGCTAGTTAATTATAACTTTAGACAGATATCCTAAGTTAGGTGCAAATCATAGGACGATACTCGATTAGGACTGTAAGTTTTGAGGTTTGATTGGCTAATGTGCTAATGTATAATGGTTATCTTGCTTGTTTTGTTACTGTTCCGTTGTAGTCCAGTCAATGAATGATCCAAAAGTAGGTGTAGAGTGCGTGAGCAGGTAACTAAGCGATTCCTTCAGAAACTTGTTCAGGGGGCTTAGGGTGTTAACATACCAAAAGTCCTGACTCCTAGGTGGTGAGCCAGTGGGTGGAGGGGGGAAAAAGGGGGGGAAAAAGGTACGCATTTTGGGTTTTTTGATTATATCTCGAAAACTATCAACTTTTTGTATACTATAGTAAATTATAAAATTGAAGAAGATAAAATTTTCTACAAGAAAAGTATATAATGTGTTTATTTTGGTTCAACAGATTACGAGTTATAACTTATTTAATTGATATCTTATTAAAATACTCCTTCCATAAGAAATACATGTAAATTAGTATGCGAAATGGGGCGAATCCTATCCGCCCAAAGAAAATATAACTGATATTCTGGAAATATTGACAAAATTTCCAGTAATTTGACAACTAATCATGAAATTTTGTCAAAAATTAAAGCGAGGGTGAGCGTTTAAAAATGGGATGATTTAAGGTTTTTTTTATATTTCCAATAAAAAAACACCAAAACTCGAAATTTTGTTACCTCGCCCTCGCCTTAATTTTGGATCAATTTTAATGATTAAAGTGTCAAATTACTGGAAATTTTGTCAAGATTTCCAGAATATCATTTATATTTCCTTTGAGCGGATAGGATTCGCCCCATTTCGCATACTAATTTACATGTATTTCTTATGGAAGAAGATTTTAATAAGATATCAATTTAAATAAGTTATAACTCGTAATCTGTTGAACCAAAATAAACACATTATATACTTTTCTTGTAGAAAATTTTATCTTCTTCAATTTTATAATTTACTATAGTATACAAAAAGTGGATGGTTTTCGAGACATAATCAAAAAACCCAAAATGCGTACCTTTCTCCCCCCCCCTTTTTCCCCTCTCCACCCCCTGGCTCACCACCTAGGAGTCAGGACTTTTGGTATGTTAACACCCTAAGCCCCCTGAACAAGTTTCTGAAGGAATCGCTTAGTTACCTGCTCACGCACTCTACACCTCATTCCTTGACTGGACTATTGGTATAAAAAAATAAAAGAAATTGGATAGAATACAGTAAACAGTAATTTATTTATTAGTAAACGGAACGGATTGGGAAAATTGAAATGTAAACATAACGATAACAAAAACAAACATACTCTGTAGCAATGTAGAATGTAGGTTTGTGTTTGTGTTTGTAGGTTATTTTCGATTTCGTTCGATTTCGCTTGGATCGGCTTATAATTTTCCGGACTCCCGCCATCGCCATCCGCCAAGCCAATGCCATGCTAATCCAGTGAAATACCCCCCGCTGCAGCAAACCTGCACACTAAGCAAATTTCCATTTGTCTGATATGCTGGTTAGCGAACTTGTTCGAATAAATGTAGGTTTACACGTTTGTACCAAATTTCATAAAAATCAAATCATTTTTGCTCGAGCTAGCGCTAACGGACACACACACACACACACACACACACAGGGTAGCGGATTTTTATCCCCCTGCAATTTTACCCCCTGGGCGAACGTGACGTCACAAAACATGGGGTAAAATTCCGGCCCCGATGGATTAAAACTATGTTGATGGATTAAACGCGGAATTAAACGTATATTTTCACGGTTGTGAATTCACGGTCAGAACACATCAAATTATAAAAACCTAGAGTGTATGGCCCGGATTTTTACCCCCGGAATTTCACCCCCCGGATTTTTACCCTCGGAATTTTACCCCCTGGCCGCGTTATATAAATTAGTGAGAATGGTTAGTTATCTCCATTCAGTTTTAATTTAATAGTAAACATTTTATTATTAAGTAGCCTATCTTAATTGATTTGTAACATCAAAACAGCGAATTCTGTTTACTTAGAAGAGATTACAAAATAAATAAATAGAGATAGGCTATTTAATAATAAAATGTTTCAGAAATAGGAAAATCAATCATGCTTAATAATTTCTATATCCGGTCAGGGGCCCATTTCATAATAAAGTACAAGTTAAGCTGCGCGCGCACTACGGCGGCACGGACAGGCGGGCGGCACGGCAATTTTTAAAAGTTAATAACATTGAATGTCATATGAGTGCGCCCACTACGGCGGGACGGCCGGTAACGGACGTTCGGCAGCTTCCGCCGTTTGTTAAAAAGTCCGGGAGACAGAACTCCAGGACATTTCCGAGCTGCCGTGACGCCCGTAACGCCCGTACCGACCGGGAGCACTGCACACCGACCGGGCGGGCGGCACGGGACATCCGCCATTCTCAACTGATCTCTGTCAAAGTAGCAGTGTTTTCGTGTGTTTTAAACATAGATGTTAGTAAGTTGATTTTTCTCGTTGAGAAAAACTCCAAACTGTACAACATGCGACATCCGGAATATTTTAATAACGTCCGGCGTGACAATATATGGACAGAAATATGATCTATTATGAAACAATCAGGTAAGTTTTACACATAATCCTTCTACAAGATCAGGAAACAAGGTGTGGAACTCTCCAACACTTAGTCTTTTTCTGTTTATGTGGTGTATCTAAAATCTTTGCTTGCACTTTCTTGTCACCTCTTCCTCTGCTAAAATTAAACCTACTATCACCACTTTATCTACATCCATCTGTACTCACAATTTTTAGCTCGCAGACTGTCAACTGTCCTAAATTGCGGATGTGCGGATGTCCCGTCCCGTCGGTCCGTGCCGTGCCGCCCTAGTGCGCGCACCCCCTCTAAAAAACGCCGTCCGTGCCGTACCACGCGTCCGTGCCGTGCCGCCATAGTGCTCGCGTAGCTTTACAAGTTACAACATGTAACTTGTAATTTCCATTAGATTTGCATTGGGCGATCAGCAGATTTACTAATAATATTAGTTTGTACCTTATTATGAAAAAGGCCCCAGAGGGTAAAATTCCAGGGGGATAAAATTCCGGCGACCCACACACACAATATGGGAAATTCGCTAAAACAGCTGTTGTTGCTGCAGTATGACGAAAAAACATTTTACTGACATAATACCCCGCCGCAGCAAACTTGCAGACTAAGCGAATTTCAACTTGTCTGATTACATATTTACTAAAATATTTCCATAAATCTATACTAATATACAAAAATGAGATGGTGTGTGTTTGTGTGTGTGCGTGTGCGTGTGTGTGTATCTGTCTGTTACCTAACGCAAGAACCACTGAACCGATTGAAATAAAATTTTGAATCAAGGTAGCTTATACACCTGTTTAACATATAGGCCTATTCCTGTTATTATACTTCCCTTGGGCTACGTCCCATGGGTTTTCAAAGTTTCAATGTTTACATTTTGGAAGAATGTAAAATAGTAAAAAGTATTAATTGAAGTCAGCTGTAAATACTATAATTTGACATTCACAGCACAGGTTAAGAGGTACAGCTCCTGCTCCCAAGATTCTAAAGTTTTATGATTATGAAAATAGTTTGATTAATATATTTATGAAAATATACTTATTTTCATGGAAACAGAAGGATCATTACAATGTATAATATTTTCGAATAATTTTGATATGGTAGCTTTATGTTTACAAATTTGAACTGATAAACAAATGTTTGGATCGGGATTTTAATAGATTTTAAAAACTAAGAAATATGTACTGGTGCAGTCGTAAAAATGTAACTGATGTTTACACTTTTATTTGTGTTTTAATTCAATTTACAAACTAAATTTTAACTATACCTACTTTTATTCTGTCCAGAGGTAGCTACTAATTATATTTTCTTCTATCATCTAGGCCTACTTCACATTAGCTTTTTTTTAAATTTACAGAAATCTCCTTAGTAGTTGTATATTTAAAACACTGCTTTAATTTGACTATGGAGAATATCACAAAACTATACTGCGATCAATTCACTTTTGTATCTAAAATCTGTAACGTAACTATGTTTCTTTACTTGATGTTTTAAATAATAATGTAATTTAATGCAAATACATACACGTTTTGAACTATGGAACGAGTTAAAATAATTACTGTTATGTATTTCGTTGTTGTTTTATATATAAATTGGTGAAATTTGTGCCCTGATTAACAATAATATTGGTAGGCTTTCTAACAAAAGGTAATAAAAGTTTTCCATTAGTTTATTTTTGCTTATTATTGTGATATATACACACTGATCTGCAGGTAAAGATTGAACTTTTAAAAAAGCTCATCAGCTACGGTAAAACATATCAATTATATGTGAAATCAATATAAACTGTTTTTTTTTTAGCGAATTTCCCATATAGGGAATAAGCTATTACCGTAGTATTCATGGTAAGACCTGGACGCGGGACCGGTTTTTTTTCATTTTGAGGTCCCTAGAGGCCAAAAACACCATCCGTTCAAATTCATATATATATATATATATATATATATATATATTTAAATATATATTTATATACCAATATAACACATTTTTACCCCATAAAACCCCCCATAAACCCCCCTTCCCATGGTCCGATTAAAATGCTGGTTCGCGAACTCGTTCGAATAACCGTAGGTTTACACGTTTATGCCAAATTTCATCAAAATTGGATAGTTTTTGTTCGAGTTATCGTGCTAACGGACACACACCCATATATATACAGGGTGAGTTTTAATTGTCCCCCCCCCAACTTTTTTCTACATTTTTTCAAATATCAATCCCAGACTACTTCCAAACATTGTTGGGTAGTAAGTACTTCATTTTGACAAGGTGGTCATTTCCGGCCGCCATCTTGGATCCGCCATATTGGATGCAAAATTTTTTTTTCAAATGTAAAGGTGGTGTTGTGACCCATTATTTCGAACTACATTTTTACCCTGATTACAATGCCGCAAACCTTTTTTAAAAATCTTGATTCATTCTAAAGTTACGAGGGCTTTTTAAAACTTTATTTTTAGCCCATTTTAACATTGTGCATTTACAAACTAACACCATAATCCCAAAATAGTGCTAGATAATGATAAGTATACACTACCAGTAATTGTCCACCTATTTTCACTTGGTTATGACTGATGTATTTTTTTCGGCCGCCATCTTGGATCCGCCATTTTGAAATGTGATAAATTATTTTAAATATGAAGGGGGTGTTGTGACCCATCATTTTGAACTACTTTTTTAAGCTAAACTCAATGCCGCAATCCATTTTTTGTTATCAAGTTTTATTTATGAAATATTGAAATTTTTTTGTTAAAAATGTCAATATTTCAAAATCAAAAAATGAAAATGAAAAACGGATTATGGAATTAAGTTCAGCTTAAAAAAGTAGTTCGAAATGATGGGTCACAACACCCCCTTCATATTTAAAATAATTTATCACATTTCAAAATGGCGGATCCAAGATGGCGGCCGAAAAAAATACATCAGTCATAACCAAGTGAAAATAGGTGGACAATTACTGGTAGTGTATACTTATCATTATCTAGCACTATTTTGGGATTATGGTCTTAGTTTGTAAATGCACAATGTTAAAATGGGCTAAAAATAAAGTTTTAAAAAGCCCTCGTAACTTTAGAATGAATCAAGATTTTTAAAAAAGTTTGCGGCATTGTAATCAGGGTAAAAATGTAGTTCGAAATAATGGGTCACAACCCCACCTTTACATTCGAAAAAAAATTTTGCATCCAATATGGCGGATCCAAGATGGCGGCCGGAAATGACCACCTTGTCAAAATGAAGTACTTACTACCCAACAATGTTTGGAAGTGGTCTGGGATTGATATTTGAAAAAATGTAGAAAAAAGTTGGGGGGGGGACAAATAAAACTCACCCTGTGTATATATATATATATATATATATATATATATATATATATATATATATATATTAAATATTTAAGTAAATAAGTACAACTGAGCACCCTGTATATTATATTTTATAAAAAGAAGTGACATGTTTCGGACATTAGTCCATTTTCAAACTTCAAAATACATTATACACTTAACTGTTGTTTATATTGTTTGTTTGTAAATAAATATAATTTATATATACAGATGATTTATAGAACTAGACAGGAATTCGAAAAACATTTTTGTTACTGATTATTTAATTTTTAAAATTTGTCCAAAAGATTGGGTTTCTTGAAGGAATTTGGCTATTTAAAATATGATTTGGATTTTTTAGATTTTCTTCGTATATGAAATATTCTTCAGTTGAATCCATTCGATTTCCTTTGTTTAAAACTTTTAGAATTTTCATGTTGTTTTTTAAATTTGTGTAATTGTGGTTGGTCGATAAAAGGTGTTCAGCAAAGTTTGATTTCATGGAAGTTCTGTTGTTACTCTTAAGAGCTTGAATGTGCTCTTTGAATCTAGATTTAAAAGAGCGTCCTGTCTGACCAATGTAGAAGTAAGTGTTCACAATCAGTGCAGTTAATTTTGTAAATGCCAGATTTGTCATAGATGTCTTGATGTTCTTTATTTGTATTAATGTTATTTGTTATCATATTGAAAGCGTTATTTTTTGTTTTAAAGCCAATTTTGTATTCAGAATTTTGAAAAGTTTTTCTTGTAGTCCTGTTAAGAGTTGTATTGAATGGGATACTAATGAATTTCTCTTTCTTCTTTCTTTCTTTGTTGTGTTCTTACTTCTTGATCTTGATTTTTCTTTCTTTTGATAAAAATATGTATATATTATATTAAATTATTGTAGTAAATAAGTACAACTGAGCACCCTGAATATTATATTTTTAGTAGAAGCCTACATATTAATATCAATTTTTAATACAAATTTAACAGAAAACCAACTCAATCAGACCTAATGATACCTTCAAATTCTAACCATCCTTGGAAATACAAACTATCTGCTCTCAGATCCATGCTAAATCGTCTTTTGAACATTCCAATGACAAAGAAAAATTACGATATAGAATTAAACAAAATTAAAAACTTAGCATCAAGGAATGGTTATAAGCAAAACATCATCTACAATATGATTAGAAACATCAAAAGAAAGAAAAATCTAAATCAAGAACACAACAAAGAAAGAAGAATGAGAAATTCATTAGTATCCCATCAATACAACTGGACTACAAGAAAAAACTTTTCAAAATTCTGAATACAAAATTGGCTTTAAAACAAAAAATAACGCTTTCAATATGATAACAAATAACATTAATACGGTACAAATAAAGAACATCAAGACATCTACGACAAAATTGGTCAGACTGGACGCTATTTTAAATCTAGATTCAAAGAGCACATTCAAGCTCTTAAGAGTAACAACAGAACATCCATGAAATCAAACTTTGCTGAACACCTTTTATCGACCCACCACAATTACACGAATTTAAAAAACGACATGAAAATTCTAAAAGTTTTAAACAAAGGAAATCGAATGGATTAAACTGAAGAATATTTCATATACGAAGATAATCTAAAAAATCCAAACATATTTTAAATAGCCAAATTCTTTCAAGAAACCCAATCTTTTACTAAATTATAGAATTAAATAATCAGTAACAAAAATGTTTTTCCAAATCCTGTCTAATTCTATAAATAATCATCTGTATATCTAAATTATATTTATTTATATACAAACAGACAATAAACAACAGTTAAGTATTTAATGTATTTGAAGTTTGAAAATTGACTTATGTCTGAAACATGTCTAAAGTGAACATCTAAATGAAAATATATATATATTATATATGGATTTGAACGGATGGTGTTTTTGGCCTCTGGGGACCTCAAAACGAAAAAGTTAATCGGTCCCGGGTCCAGGTCTTTCCATGAGACCTACGGTAATAGCTTATTCCCTATATGGGAAATTCGCTAAAACGATGAAGTTGAACAAACCAACGCAACCAGTTGTGTGTCACGGACTAGGTGACAGATGTGTGTAGTGACCACCACCACGGCGGAGTGCAGAGGAGCGGACGGTGTAGTCCTTGAGAGATGGAGGGGGCCGTAACATTACAAGTCTCACTTTCACTGGTTTACAAAAAACCACTTTCACACCCCGTGGGGGGGGGGGGGGGCGCACTTGTCATACTGCAGCTGTAGCGTAGCTTCTACCAGCAGCATCATTCGCATACCTCTGGGAGTGAACAGTGAACATGGTGTAGTGAAGCAATATGACTGACACGGTGCTGGAGATGGATGCCAACAGAAGCAAAGGTTGGTGGAGGTCAAGTCGTACGACAATAGATGCCTGTAGAATACCTGTAGAAACTTACGTCGTCAACCAACAAGTAGAAACTAACAGAAACATAGTTCAGTATACAGAGGAAAAGTTCCTGTAGGACAATGCATGCATACAATTTGCTATAATCATTAAGTTTAGTTTTAATAACTTAACTTACTGTGTACTCTTAACACATCTATATTGCCAAATGAGTTGGGGAACGTAATTATGCTTAGGCTACTCTAACTCTAACAAAAATATTAGTTAAGGGAGATATTAAAATGGAGTAAGACCCCTTTTTGTTTTACCTGCCAGAATTGTGTTTGACGATTTTATATTTTAATGAAGTTCAAATTGATTTAATTACGTACATTTTATTACGTTTTAAAAGCCGCGTTGTATAACCGTGTTAGCGTTTCATAACCGTCCTATGGAAGCGGTAAAACGTTCAAATTTTATGAAGATATACCTATAAACTAGCAGTCAACGTAAATTTGATATTATATTTTATATATATACACAGGCTATACTGTACCTGGATATTTACGACAGTAGTGCATCGATGGTGCGATAACGCAACATAACCATAGCTCAACGCAGTCGTAGAATACAGCAAAGTATGTACAATATACTCAAGCTACATAAATTCCCGTTTGCGACAACTGCTCATGATGACTCCATTTAGTTAAATATTATTGTCTCATTTTAATATTGGTGAATAAACAGAGATTTTCTGTTGAATTAAGGAGAGAAGTTCAGACAAGCATTATTAGTTGAAAACCATGTGAATACAACAATAAAATCTGCTGAGAATCACTGTATGAATTGCAGTAAAAAACTGTCTGGTTTTGTTTGGAAAAATTACCCTTCGGGTAATGACCTCGTTAAAAAATACTAGGTGTGCGGTCTCAGGTCCGCCAATTGAGCGGAGTGAAAAAAAGATTAACAAATAATCTTTTATTTGTTTATTCTAGACTATAAGATAAAAACTTAAGAAAACTTTTAATGACAATAAAATACTTTATCATACATATAGAGCACATAACTTTCATTTACTGTTTGTTTATGCCTGTAACTCTCCCTATCAAAAATTGCTCAATGAGCAATTCCTTGACAGTTCTTGTTCTTACTCGTGAAAACGCTAGATAAAATTAATCCGACGAGAAATTTTTATTTTCCCAGGTCGACCACAGCCTTATCTTAAGTGCATCCTTGACTGAGATGTACCGAACAAGCACAGGCAAGCTTTAGCGGGGATTGCCTGTGCGAATTTTTTTCATTTTCATTTTAACAAGAATATTTTATGATTCTTTGTTTACATCCACGTTGTTATCTTGTAACCATCATAGCAACGCATAAGGCTAATGCTAAACAAATTATATTATTTTTAAATTGTAAAGCCATTATCAAATTTAAATTTATTTGTTTAATAACATGAACACTGTTTGTCGAAATAACCCTGAAAAGTTTGGATTCAATATGATCAGCCGTTATTGAGTTAACTGATTACAGTTTGCATAAGGTCCGATCTCAAATAGCTTCGCTCAATAAACATAAGCATGGTTTTAAGAACTTTTTTGCGTAAGTAGTAATTCCCTGACTTTGATCAAAATGTAGGTTCTAAATTTTATTTAATTGTTTTGAAAGTATTTATTGTCAACGATGTAACAGCATACTGTAGTAAAATGTTATACTTTTAAAATTGCAGATACTGTAGTAAAACGACGCATTTATTTATTTATTTACTTCGATACCTTCTTAGGAACCTACTTAAAATGACAAAGTTTATGAATACCGGTAGTTCATTGTAAATAGTATCAAAATATTTATATTCTTTTTTAATCTTTTTGCTATAAGAATACGTCCAAACACCACCAAAAAGGTGAAGATACTTGCAAGTTCCGTATTTTTTAAGAAATTTAAAAATAAGAATACACAAAAGAAACACGGAAATTTAAAGCGCGTAACACGAAAAATTATGCAACGAAGCGAAAATAAATTAACAAAATTAAGCTGTACGCAGTTTCAAATAGTAGTAATAATAAGAATAGCTTTAGCCTGGAAGTTGGATAAATAGGTCATCAGGCAGTCATTCGAGATGATTGTGCCTATAACCAAACCCTAAAAATCCCTCTGTTTAATTTTTTAATCTTAATACCTTATCTTATCCACTTTTTAGTCTCATGAATTTGTAAATAATGTTGTAAAAGCAAATCGAGAATCATCTTCCTTATATCTTTTTAAGGTATGATGGTGACTAAATTATTGTTATTCTGCGATTAGATTTTTAAACTTATTGAATTGTGATTCGCGGTGTAAGTTAAAACCAAAATTGATCAGAGCAGGTATTGTGGGAATCTCGGTCCGTGTCCAAAAATTGCAGCAAAATGTCTAAATAATTAATTCAGGGTTGGTACTGATTTTGGAAAATGAAATTCCCTGACTTTTCCAGGTTTTCCAGACTGATATTATACTTTTTCCAGGTATACCGTAAGACGATATCGAATAGTCAGAATCAAGAATTATTAGAAAAAATGTAGGCCTAAATAGTTTACTCATAAAACCAATAAAAAAAGAATTAAACATCTGGAATCTGGAAAATTGGAGAAAATCTGGAGTACCAACTAACTTAACCTCACACTTTATGTTCTACTTGGCCTTGACTTGACACTACACTTGATTTACACTTGAGACGATACGGTGCTTCTGATACTGATATATATCGATATTTTGCTTGCGATATCATCTGTTTATATCGGAAGAAACATGTGAAATTGGAAAAATAACTACCATGCTTGTACCGGAGACAAAAAGTAGTACCAAACTAAACTATTTAATGTTTCAACTGACAGGATAATTTTTTTTATAAACTCCTACAAGTGCAGTTTTTTTTTTAGTTTATTAAAGGTTGAATCATTGGTATAAATTCAATGAGGAATTGTATTCAGTATCGTATTGAAATTGAAACGATGAATGTAGGCCTATCATTCCGTGCATCGCGGTACTAGCAGTGTTTCCATACGTGGTATTATTATCCCAAAAACAGGATTTTTAGAGCGTGAGCGGGATTTGAAGGGGATGTGGGATAAAACAGGAGTTTTGGCTATGACGTCCGTTTTTATTTACTATGCTTTATTTTAATGAAAAACTAACCCCAATCGAAAAAATTACCTTAAAAAAATATAATAGCAATGTTAAAACAACTATTTAAACACAATATGTCTAATTTAACATAAAAAAACCCAGTGACCGGGATTATATTCTTTTGGTCGTGTAGAAACACTGGGAGCTCAGTGCGTTCAATTAAAGCCAGTAATCAGAGGGTGATGATAGAATGTCTGTCGATGTTCGATGTTTTTGTTACATCGATGTTTTCGTCTAACTTCGATGTTTTTGACCAAGTATTGAGACGTAGATGCAAAATGTAGCATATCTGTAAAAAATGTAGTCTTTCAAGAGAAATTCCAGATTTTTTCCAAAATTCCCTGACTTTTCCAGACCAACAAAATTTCCTGACATTTCCAGGTTTTCCCTGACCGTACCAACCCTGTTAATTGCATAATTTGCTAAGTTCCACAGATTTGATTTCCGATTCATGCTCATGATATTACATGTGGAAATAACCGATGAAAAGAGTAAAGACGAATTTAACAATCCGTACATTGTTGTCATTGCGTTGTAGAAATAAAACAGCTAGGAGTCGTACTATGAGGTTTTTGTATGATGACATTGGTCAATTTCATGTCCTTTTTCTTTCGTTTTAAGTATGATAGAAGTTAAAATTGACAGCCAATAACGGAATTCCCTCTAAACATAACCTGCTCCTAATGCATTCTAAAGCACTGTGATTGGCGAAACGGCACACGGAAGATTTCTCAGGTGCCGTTTGACGTCACTAACTGCTGACATCACTTTGAGGCCGCGGCTCCACTTGCCGTAGATTGCCGCGCTGCAAATTGTAGCTCGTCAGTTGAGGAAATGGGAATGCAGCGATCAAACGAAGGTGGCTCCACTAGCGACAGTCTGCAGCGCGCTACATTTTACAGCGCGCCGTAGAATGTAGCGTCGCGCGGGAATGGAACTCGGACCATTTTCGCGCTACATTTTGCAGCCAACAGGTGGCTCCACTAGTTGTAGATTGTAGTGCCGCGCCAAGTCAGTGTACGTACAGCCGACAGGCATACATGGACAATACACTTTTTAGTGTCTTTAGTTTTATTTTTATTTTTGTGGATTGATTTGTAATCAATGGAGCCTGAACTGGACTGTGAAGTTTTTATATTAGAAATTTATTAAATTATTACATCGGGAGTGTGGGAATCTTGTTTTATAGAGGTTGTGTAAGGGGTTTCCTACTTTATATTATAAAGTAAAACAGTAGTATGATTGGAGAAACAAATACGTGAAAACATTCAATTTGTTTTTAAGTGCAACAGTCGTACAATTGTTATAATTATCCCTATAATAAAAAAACTCACGAAACTCATATTGATATTCACCTTACATTGGTTACTTAGAAATATTACTTCTGAGGTTGAATAAAATTAATTAGTTAAAATTCAGTACACTAAAATTACCTTAATGTCACTGGGAAAACCTTTCCTATACTCCAATTGCTTCTCTTAGTTTGGTATCCTATTAAGTAATCAAACGAGTTTTGGGACATTCGATAATATTCAAAAAAACTTGTCTGAATACTTTCAGTATGCTGTGTGGAACATCCCTTCGGACTTAACGTTGCTTAATATTGGATGGATCCACCATTTTCCTGCTGTGATCGGCGTCGTCTTGATAAAGTACACTGATAACAACACTACGAATGTTAATTTGAGGCATGATCCAGGGCCACGTTTACCTCCGCGCTACACTTACTGCTAGTGGAGCCACGATGCATCTGAGGACGCTGCAGATTGTAGTTCGTACTCTGCTGCTAGTGGAGCCACCAACTGTAGCGTGTAGCGCGCTACAATTTGCAGCGCGACAATTTACGGCA